TATAATAATAGAAATAAATTATAAAACACAAATATAGATCAAATTGGAACAAGAATCTAAGAAAGTTGCAGACAGGTTGGAAAATGCTTATGGGATTCGAACTCGTGACTCCAAAAATTAAACCACGTTACCATCAGTTTTACCACTAAGCATCACACGAGTATGGTATGATTTTGGCTTATATACATCAAGTAAATGAATTCTTAAACTAAATTTTTTTGTCCTATTTCAGGGTGCTATCGTCTAAAAAATTCACCAGAGTTTGTTCTTCAGCTTCTAAGACATTTCTTACAAAAAATATGTTTTCAAGTGGCGTTCTGATTGAAGTTAAACAGGATGAAAAAAATATATTCCATGTGCTTACAAATATATGTTAGACAAAAAAGTATATTTATAAGAAGAGAAATACAAATTTAACATACTCTTTAATGCAGTGGAATATTTAAAAGGCTATCAAACTGAATTTATAATTAACGTTTTTAGTTTTTACCTGTTTCAAAAAAAAAAAAAAAAAAAAAAAATTCTTTTAATACCATATCTGATTTGCTACAGCAGTTTGATATAGTCAGATGTTCAGTTTTATTAAAAGTGTATGCAGAACTAGGAAATAATTGTCAGGACAAATTTTGCTATTTCATGGACTTGAATTTACATTTTTTTTGCTTGATTTTCTTGACCGCCTGATTTTCTATGCGAACTAGTACTGTAGTTGCAGTTACCTTATTTTTCTTATCTATTTTTTTTTTTAAACTAAATTCAGCTGGTTGCTGTCTTTTTCAGTACGCAGATTTCTCGCTATAACGTTAATTCAGAAATAAGTATTTTTTAGCAAAACATTCTTTCCCTAAGCCAGCGCTCATCGCTACTTCTGCCACCATTTATTTTTGGTGACAACACCTGATTGCTCCTTTTCTACCACGTGACCCCCAACGCATCCGCAGACATACGGATAAAAGTTGAATTCCATCCGTCACCGCACATCGACCGGATTCCAGATGTCAACCAAAGTGAATTCGCTCGCTGATTGGAGAAACGCATAGACTACACAGCAGTGGAAACGGGCCTTTAAACATGCCCAAATTTTAGAATTAAAGTACAGGTAACCCTTGTATAACACGGTAGATAGGTTTCTAGAAAATGGGATGTTGTGCGAAATCGTTTCGCATGAGACCCAGCGGCAGTATGAAAAGGGGATTACGTTCCAAAAACGTATTAAAAAGAATTTTTTTAAATTATACATAAACAACTTAATTTTTATTAAAATATATACGTGTGTACAACACAAAACAAAAAATATTACACATTTTAATTTAATGCAACTTTAATAAATTTCTTCGTTGTCATTGCACAGTATAATGAAAAGAGAACTTTTTTTTTCGGTAGAATGAGATCGCTTCACTTGCAAAATTTCTTTGTTCTTTCAAGTTCCGGCATTTTCTTCCCTCTTTAAAAAATTTGTAATTTTACTTAGCTTACTTTTAAATTACTTACTAGTTCTTAACGGATAATTTTAAATTTCTTGATACAGAGCTAGGCTAGACTGTTTCGCAGCTCCCTTTTGGATTATTCAGTTATGGCAAAGCACACGAGGGCTAACTGCCTAAAGGAAGGGATGCCTTTCGTGGAGGACTTTCTAAGGAAAACTGGCTCGTATACACGTTACACATGGGGAAAACCACGAAAACGCCCATACAGCCAGCCCGTTCGCAGGATTCGAACCTCAGACCGAACTACCAGTGTTCAGCGTCTTTTACCGCTCGGCCGCTGGTGGGCGCAGCTCCCTTTTGAATTTTTGGCTTATTTCAGCAGAAGGTTCACTCAAGAAAAATTACTTGAGCTTTTCAGCTAAGCACAGGCCTTCTTTTAATTTTTTTTAATGTTAAATTATTAACAATCTTCATCAATGGTAGTGTCCTCAGAATAAATTTGATTTACAGCTTCGGGTACCATCTATCAAATCTTCGTCAATTTCTTCCGCTAATAAATCTTCAACGTCGTCAATAGCCACGTTCATAAAACCTTCGTCTTTGATTGATTTAGCAAGTTCTACTATGCCACCAATTTCATTTTCTGAAGATTCACGCTTGTTTTCTATTCTAGCTGACAAGGGCCATATCTTCTAACATGCATTTAACATTGTTGCTTTCAGTTCTTTCAGCGACAAAGATGGTTGGAGTAACGAAGTAGTCTTAGGTGACAGGAACAGTATTTTGACATTGGGATGATTCAAATCTTATGAGTGATATGGAGCATTATCTAATACCGCATCGAAGCTCAAATTTTTCTGCTTTAAATAATGTTCAGCGTCTGGCACAAAACAATTTAAAAACCAATCTTTAAATATATTCCCAGCTACACAAGCTCTTGGATTTGCTTTCCAATACAACAGTACTGTGTTTTTATTTACGCCTTCAAGTGCACAAGGATTTAAAGATGTATAAAATAACAAAGGTTTTTGTCATAAAGCCCTAAGTCATACTGCAGAAAAATAGAGTTAGAAAATTTTTATACATCTTAAATCAGGATGCAGTTTTTTTCTTTTTTTGATATAAAGGTTCTGCTGGGCATTTTTATTCCACCAAATCCCAGTTTTATCGGCATCGAAAACTTGAACTGCTGTGTATCCTTGTTATATAATATTTTGAAATTTTTCAGGAAACTCCTAGCAGCTTCATAATCAGCTGATGCAGATTCTCCTTGAAATCTTATGCTATGAATTGCAAAACACTTTTTGAAATTTTCCAACCAACCTTTACTTACCAGAAAATATGGGTTGACAGACTGTTATCCATATTCTTTGAGGTGCTTGAAAATTTTGAGTGCTTTTTGTTTAAAGATATTAACATTCAACAAAATTCTTTTTTGACAGCTATCATCAGTCCAAATGCTAGGTGCATTTTCCATCTTCTCAATTATTGGCCCAACTGGGGGCGAACTGCACGTTTTGCTGATATCGAAGATCCTGCAGCAACTGCACTTCTTATTTCTTTTTCGTTTTTTTTTCAATAGTCTGGAATGTTTCTTCATTCCAATTAAAAATTTTTCCAATGTGACATGCCTTTTCTCCGTTTAAAAGACAGTCCAAGATTTGTATCTGTACGTCTAAAGAAATGAATTTCCTCTTAAATGTTATTTTTTAACTTTATCGGACATGTTTGGGGACTGAAACTTAATGTTTTAAAGACAAAAAAGTTATTCTTTAACACACCATGGCTCAACGCAGTCTGCCCACCAGCAGTGTGAGACACCTTTTTCAGGCCATGGAGAAGAAGATTCGAACTTTGGAAGCCGAACCAGCAGGTTGTGCATTTTAGAGCACTTACTGTTGTTTGTTCACCTTCTGCGATAGTGAAGGTTCTTTGCTATCTGGGGAAATTTGTTCATACAGGTCATCTGAGATCATTTGCTCGTCTGAGGACATTTGTTCTTACTGCTACCGGATCTTGGAAGACAACTGGCAGAACTTACGAAACAAGGATTCCTATGTGTTAAATGACTACATAGGTGCTTTGCACCATATGAAAAAACTTCGTGCGAAGTTTGTTAAATTTCTTCGAATTGCTTGGGCAATTTTCTTGTCGTGTTAGAGCAAAACCATATTGTAGGAGGGTTTAGCAATTTATGAATCGTGTTGTAGCGAAACCGTGTAACAGGATGCCATGTTGTAGGAGTGCTACCTCTACTATTAACTTAAATTTTGAAAGTTAAAATGGGAACCAATATTTATTCTAATATTTTTTACATGTGCATATTTAATACAAATAGCCAGTAGGTTGTGAAAATGGCAAAATATATAGTTTTTATATTTCTATTGAGAAATTGTAAAATGTGGTGGTGTTTTAAATTAAAGATTTTAAATTTTTGTTTAGGTGGTACGCATTAGTGAAAAGGTTGAGAACCACTGATCTATGGCATTCATTCAAAAGCAGTCGATGACAAAATTGCGTTACAATATTCTGCAGAATTACACCTACAAAAGAATACTAAATTTCTATAACTACTTTTAACCTGATAGTTGATATGAATTATATATTACAATAAGATTAGAAGCTTTGATGGGATTCTAGTCAAGCAATTTTAAAATGCACTGTGTGATTCAACACTGTATTCATAAAATATTCTTCCCAAATACCATTGTAAAGGTATATGCCACTATTTTATTCACATTATTCTTGCTTAATCTTAAGTATCATACATGCAACTTCATATAGTTTTCAAACATAAGTTTGAATAATTTCAATTAGATATCTCCTGTTTACAGATTATGTGAAGAGTATATGAAACAGATTTTTACACACCTTTTTATAGTAAAATTATGGCTTTGAAGAATGTACTTCTATCACTAAGCCTTTCAATTATCAAACTTTAGATACTTTTTAATTTCAAACATGTTTATAAGCTTCTTCAAGCAGGTTTCTCACAGGTATGTTCTCATAAACCATCTAAGGCTAAGCATTATAAAAATTTAGCATGGAAACTACAGTAAAAATAGGAAGATACACATGAAGACTTGCTTACCCATATTTTGTTAAGTACATTTTAAATAATATTAATCAATTCGGAAGGTATAAAAGGAAAAAATAAAGTTTACATTTTAAAATAATTATTTCTTTTATTAAGCTAACAATTTTAAATTAATTATTATAGCAAGCTTATTCTTTACAAACTCAATAACAAGCTCAGTAAAAGCTGTTTTCAATATTATCATGTCTGCCAAAGCCACCAAAATATGACTTTCTTCATGTTTTACTTTAACCCACCTACAAGAAACTCTGAATGTGTGATTGTGTATTATTATGCAATATAATGAAATTTCATACCATATAAAAAAGTTTATAAAGTCAAACTCCCAAAGAGAAACTTCCTTAGGTCCACAAAATGGCACATCTAAATTAGTATGGCCGGGTAATGCTAAAAACAACTAAGGATATCCAAATGCATAAGTTCCATTCTAAGAGAAAACATTTAGAAGTTTCAACATTTAAAAAAAAAAAAAATACCTTCAATAGGAGGAGGTAGTATATCCTGAAGGTTTGCTTTTTTATCTTCATCACTACTTTCAACAAGCACTACATCACTTTCACTTTTAACAGTGGTTTCTTTCAATTCATTTGTAGGTTCAGCTTCATTAATCGATGAAGAATCAAACAGATTAGGGGCATCACCAGGTGGCTGACTGAAAAGCTGAGTAAGAGCTTCTTTCTCAACTTCTATTTGTTGAAGCCGTTCTTGAAGAGCTCTCATCTGAGCCTCCTGAAGTCGTCTTATACGCTCTTGCTCTTCTTTCTGAGCTGAGAGGGTCACTGCATCTAGTTCATCTTCTAATTTAATATCTCTAAAAAAAAAAAAAAAAAAAACAATTTGAAATTAAAACCTTGAAATAAAGGATTCAATACACATAAACAGAGACAGACATGTATTACTCAATTTCAAGACATAAAACATATCTAATGGGTACACCAACACCTAGATGGAATGTGCAAATTCAGATGAGTTTGTTATTCTGTACAAGCAATTGCCTTACATATGCAAAGAATTAATTTAGAAGTCAAACAACAAAAATGAGCGTTATATTTTCAAACTTTCACAGGACTAGTTTCAGTGGTTTTATCGAACCATCATCATTAGCTACAAAAGCACAAATGAACGAGATGATGTATTTTTTTGGCGTGTTGTATCTTAATACGCAAAGAAGTCCAACATTAAAGACATGTAGCATCAACATATAGTCAAACAAAGAAGTTTAACACGAATGTTCACTTCTGTTCTCAGAAATACAGATTACTTTCAGATAAGTTTGCCAGAACTAAGTTAAAATGTATTTTTAATGTAACACATAATACATAATATAAAATATCAAAATGTAAATTATTGGGTTATAAGATAAAACAGTTGCATACCTCTAAATAACTTCAAAGCAGTTGAAAAAATATGTTAAATATAGTTTGCTGATATATAATCAGCACCAACTCGTATATTTTATAATATTTTTGATACATTTTATAAATATACGAGTTTTTCTTTTTATTTGTAGAGTTATATATTTTATAAATTTTATTCAATTAATAAAAAATGGCAAAACAAGTAGCTAAATACTAACCTGATATTACATCTTTCAAACTTTTTCTTCTTCGAGAGTTTGTCATCTTTTTTAACATTTTTCTCACACAATTCTTCTATTCTTTCCTTTTTGTCTTTTTTCTTTTCATAAGAATCTTGAGAATTAGCTATATCAGTTATCTCAAGTGGAGACATTTTTTCACCATCATCTTCTGAAAGTGTACAACCAACTAAATCCTCAGACTTATCAGAAAGGACTGCTGGAATTTCCGTTGACAATGTTCCTTCAGTATTTATATCAGATTGAAAAGTATTTTCATCTGAATCTTTTAGGCTATATGACAAAATATTCTTCGATGGAGGATAAAATTCATGTTTAGTCTCACTGCTGAGATCATCTGTGAAGCAATTATCATTTTTTACATCTCTTGAAGCAATTCTTTTAGAAAAGCTTTTTTCCTCAGATAAAGAGGAATCATTTTTCACATCCATAAAAATGTCAGATTCATTTTGAAACACTTCAGTTTTGAAATCTGCGATTTCATCCTTGATTTCAGTTTTAGATTCAAGTTTAATGAATTTTAAAGAGTTTTTAGTTTCATTTGGTATCTTTTCAGATACTTTGTAGGGGAAATCATCAGATTGGGTTTTTGGTTCTGGTTTCACTACTGTTGACAATAAATTAGAAATAGGAATGTTATCACAAGAATCTTTATTTGAACCTACTAACTGTATGGTAACTTCTCCAGATGACAAGACCATATTGTTTATTCTTTTAAGTTTATGTTTGTTGGACTCAACAGCATCAGCTATTTCTTCTTCCCACTTTCTTTTTGTTTCTGTATTACAAACAGGATTTTCATTTACAGTTGCACGATCTGAAGTTAAAACATCATCTTTAGAGCAATTATTAACATCTGAATGAGTTTCATTTGTTTCACATGCAGCTTGTAACACTTCTACAAAAATATACAAAAAATTTAATTCAAATTTTTATAACACTTTTACAAAAATATACAAAAAAGTTAATTCAAATTTTTATAATCTTAAAAGCATATACATATTATACTATAATATTCTTTGAAATTCTGCATAAAAAACTTAAATACAAAAAAAAAAAAAAAAAAAAAAAAAAATCTAAAATAGTCTCGTCTATTTAAATCTAAAATCTAAAATAGTCAATATGAAATGAAGTTTAAATAGATACATACTACAGGCCATTAAAATTGCTACACCAAGGAATGCATATAAAAGAGTGATATTTATTGGTCATATACATTACAGAGGACAGAAGTGATTAAATTTACAGGAAACTATGATGTATGAATCCTAAGAAATCAACACCTAGAGCAGCCTCATCTGACAGCAAATAACAGTATTTATCCACCTAGACATGACATCAAAGATTATATGGCATGCACAGAGACTGCAGTCCATGCAGCTTCAACATGATGCCATAGTTCATCAACAGTAGGATGGTGAGTGGTACCATGCATACCACTTGGCAACCATTGTCCGAACATTTTCAATTGGTGACAGATGAGGCAACAATCAAACACCTTCTATATTGATTAAGGTCAGGAAATATGGGCAACATGCAGTTGTGCATAGCTCTGCAGAAACAAAGCATTAGGGAGACTTCAAATATAGAGCAGAGCAATGGGCCTTTGTTAGAAATGTAACAGTTGCTGTTCGAAGTGCCAGAAATGCAAACAAGAGGTTTGATCAATGTTAGGATGATATACAATGAAAGCCGGTAATGTACGTAGGTTGTTGTTCTTTTCAACCTCCGATCGCACAGTATGATGGCCAGGTATGCGGCAGGTGGTTGGTGTGCGTAGTAGGCGACTGCGCATCTCCCCCTCCACATGCTCTGTCACTGGTGTATTCACGCCATTTTCTGTTGAGTTGCAGTCACGTAAACGTGGCTGCTGCTATTGATTCTCCCGCCAAGTGTGAATTGCGAGCTGTTATTCGTTTCTTGCAAGCAGAAGGGAACAAAGCAGCGGAAATTCATCGAAGAATGAGTCAAGTGTATGAAAACAGCTTTATGAGTGATGGTGTTGTTCGTGAATGGTGTCAAAAGTTTAAAGATGGCCAAACTGATGTGCATGATGAAGGGGGTCAAGGACGCAAGTCTGTTGCTACAGACGACATTGTTCAACGAGTTGACCAAGCGGTTAAGCAAAATCAAAGGTTCACCATAAGTGATCGATGAAATTTCCAGAAGTTTCAAGATCTTCCCTGTACTCTATCATTACTGAACAGTTGCGCTACATAAAAGTTTGCGCTCGCTGGGTCCCACAAATGTTGACTGACGACCACAAAACTCGCCGAATGGTTGCAGCATTTAAGTTTCTTGACCGATGCAATACTTACACAGAAGAGTTTTGGAAATCCATTGTGACAGGTGATGAAACATGGGTTCAATATGACACCCCCGAAACAAAACGGCAATCACAACTATGGATACACAAAAATTCTCCAAAGAGACCCACAAAATTCAAACAAACTTTTAACAACCATAAGGTTATGGCAACTGTTTTTTTTGGGGGGTCAAAAAGGTGTGTTGCTTGTGGAGTTTATGCAGCCTGGAACAGCAATTAATGCAGATTCATATTGTGAAACTTTGCGACGCTTACGGAGAGCTACTCAATTTTTATGGCCAGTAGTGTAGTACCATTAGCAAAAAAGATTTATACCTGGATTTCGCACTGAGATGAAATTTTCTTTAATTCTGAGAGAATAATCTATTGGTTAAATCTTAGTAACTTCTTTAAGGCCCATATCACATGGCATTTGTTTCACACAAACAACTGTTTTGGACAATTTTTCTGCCTGGTTTACTTTTGAAGGAAAGACGTACGACTTTTTCCTTCCTTCCCAAAAGAATTGCAAGTTGTTCGTTTTCAACCAATGAGCTATCAGCTTAGAATGCTATCAGCTTGTCTGTAATGGGAAACCAGTTTCCCCTGTGTTAACCCCAAAGCAATCTATGTTGTGACAAAGCAGAAAAATTGTTTCAAACAAACCAACGTGTGATAGCAGCCTAACAGTTGATAAAAAAAAAAAAAAAAAAAAAAAAAAAACTTTTTCGATGGCTAAATAATTATTCACTACCTGTATAACAAATACAAAATTTAAAAAAAATAAATAAATAAATAAATAAAAAATTTGAGCACAGTATTTTATGATCCAACTTCTCAGTGGCATGAAACCAAATAAGCACCAATAAATAACTTGCGTAAGAATACACTAGTCCCTCTCCTAAGGAAACAGTTAATGCATTATCTGCATTTATTAAATTTTTAAAATGGAATCATATGTATCTGAGAAATGACATTTTAATTCAACTGCATGTTATAGCCAGCATAAACCTATTGAGAGATTATATCACTTTTATTGGAAGACGACGTTAAGTGGTAGAAAAAATTCTGCTACTTATTAAAGCATACAATTCTGCATTTCATCAACCATTATTAAATAATTCTAACAGAAACAAAAAGAGATCCTGAAATTAATACATAAAAGTTTATTTATATAAAGCTTCACATATTAGAATAAATATCTTCAAACCTTCCAAGTAGTGTTGAGAGAAAAAAAACTTCACTTAATGAAACAGATTTCCTTACGTAACCTTCAAGGACAGAAGGATGAGAAGAAATATATCCGAAATTTATGAGGTAATTCCTTTCTCGAGATATATCTTTACTGCAGGACTGAAGATCTTATTCATGTACTCAATGAAAAAGATACAAGTGAGCCATGTCTTGCTACTGGTCCCCCACACAAACTCTGTATCATACAGCTCTACTGCATTATGCATTTCTTGGAGGCTCATGGTGTCTCAAAATAATACACAAGCATGAATTTGACTTTGATGTCCCTTTTTCAGTTGTTTTACCATATAAAAGTTTTAAAGAAAAGATTTAGTAGATGATCTTGAAAGTTTCAGTATGTCTTCCCAGGATCATTTACAAGAATTTACACATGGGCAATTTACTGGAAAGATTGAGCAAAGCCTTGTTTCATAGGCCTGGAACGTGTAGCCAGAGTCACAGGGAAGGTCATGTTAGATGTACATCTGTCGAAGACAGGTTCATTGCCCTATCAGATAAAAGAAATCAGTACACCACAACCTAGCAGGCTACGAAACAGTTTCTTTTTGCCATAGAACAGATCTCTCAAAAAACTGTGGCCAGACGTTCGGCAGAAGGAGGATTAACATACACATACCTATCATACAGCACTGCTCCACACATTTACAATGGTGTCATATGCATTGCAATTACAATGAAGAATACTATTCTCAAATGAAAGTATGTTCAGTTTGTCAAACTGTCAAATCATAGATGCCAATGCATCTGCCATAAGAGTGATACTGCTTGTTGTCCAGAAAATATCTGGGAAAGGGACTGATAACCCAGATGCAGTATGATGTATGACAGCTACATGTTCAATGGCCGTGTTCCCCGTACGTGTGATTGCATCTTGGACTATGATCAGCCAAAAATAATAATAATAATAATAATACATTGGTGAAGTTCTGTTGCCTTATGTTTGTTTCTTGTGAGGTGCTTTCAGTGATAACTTTCTTTTAATGGGCAACACGTCGTGTCATTGAACACTTGCTGTACAGAATATTCAATACTTCATATGTCCAGCACATTCTGCAGATCTAAACCCCATTGAAAATGTTTGGGATGTGCTGGGGTGGTGACATGCTGATCGAAAATATCCTCCGACAAACAACAGCTTCACCCACCCACTGACATAGTGGGATCAACTGCATTAACAGCTGCCGGATACTGCTGTGCAAAGCATAACATGACACATGGAAAGTTGCATTGCACTCTACGATGGAAATATCCCATATTGACACCTTTCTTAACCGTTTTGACTCGGCTTTTGCACGATTAAAACTTAACTATGAAGAGCAAGTTAATTTAATATTGACATGCTAAAAGAAGTGTAAAATAAGTTTGAAGTTTTTAACATTTCCAGGAAATCTCTTGGGACAATATGCCCCAACTGTATTGCAAACTTAGACTATTTGCCCAAATCACCTAGGATACTGTGATAACAACCTTGCACCGCATGTGAATAAAAAACAAAGTTAAATGAAATGTACCAATTATTACAGTACCTTACAGTACAAGTTAAGTATGGTACGGCATAAAGCAGTTTTTACAAAGTGCACCCTGACGCATTTGGCAAATAGGCCAGGTTTCTTTAGTCATATATTTCCTTAATTTCTTAAAAAGACTGCAAAGATAATAACCTATTTAAAAGTGGCTTTTATTTACTCAACAGGGAATGAAATCTAATCTCTGGGACATATATGCCCATTAGGACCAAAAGAGTTAAAGGTGCCTGCTGTCATTCATATGTATTTTTCCATTTCTCCTTACACACCATCAAAAGCACACTTTTTAACCTTTAGATGTTTCAAAACCTGTACCTTTCTGATTAATAAATGTCCTTTATAACAATGTTCGAACACTGTTGCAACAACATTTTATTCTGCTTAGCCTCCAGCCCCAATTAATGTTATTCTACACTGCAATTTGAGATCTGCCGTAATCAACTGTCGGGCAATGCAATTGTCTTCAGGGACAGCACAACAATATAGAGGATCTTTGCAGTACACTTTGAAAGTTATTCAATAGCTGAGAAAAACAATTAGCATTTTTGCACACACCAGTTTATCTCAAATACAAGGATTTCAGAGAAATGGCAAATGAATGTCCATGTTGTGGCTGCCAGACTGAATGACTATGACAAAAGCTCTCTACCATGAACAATTTCAAACAAACATAAAAAAAAAATTGCAATTTCATGCTGGAGCAACCAGTGTACAATGCCTCTTGCACGATACATACTTTTTAATTGCTGATACTGAATCGGATTGCTATTCCTTACATTAGGAGACAGAGCTTTGCACCTGGTATGGATTTGAAAATAAAGCTACTAAGAATGGATATAAGTAGCATAGTATGAAGAGTCCTATTTCCAACTGATTTGCAGGTAGATGGAAAAGTTCATGGGGGGGAGAATGCACTCATGAAACAATGTACCAACCATGCCAGCAAGACTACAAACTGGTGTGGCCTATAAGCATGAGATGTATTCACATAGCACAAATCAAACATCTCACATATATATAACTTTCTCTGAGAGGTAAACACTATATTACCATCTTTTCAGATGCATTACACTCATTTATGCTACACATTCACTGTGATGAATTTAGCTTGTTCAAATAAGAAAATGTGGAAATTTATACATGCAGTAATGATTTGTGGAACACGACCATGTCCTATCTTGTTTCTATAGTTCTGAGATACCTAGATAGATAGGCAGCTTGCTTTATGGCACTTCAGTGTACTATAATAATGGGCTCTTCTTTGCCGAATAAAAGAAAATTCTTTACCTTGTGATGTTCTCACCTTTAAAATCAAGACCTTTTCAATGAACTATGAAGCCAGAAGGATGGCAAACAGCTTTAAAATATATTTTGGCTTAAATTTTATACTGAAAATGGGCACAATTTGATTCTATAAGCAAAAATAAGAGCACTTTCTTTTTTCCTATAAATGTTTACCAGGGAAAGAAAAAATTTCAACTTATGATAAAATAAAGTACTCTTCTTTTACTGGGACCGGATTCAGGAATGCATGCACTTGTGTGTGTGTGTGTGTGTATACATACATATGTACACATATGTACTTACATGAATTCGTACATTTCGGACTCCGGCCCTGATAAAAGAAGAGTACCTAAACTAATAATATTCAACTGAAATTAGAATATGGAGTAACATGTTGAATAAATAATGTCAAATATTACTTTCAAAGTTAGCAATATCATCCCATGCTTTCATTTGCTCTAGATGAGATACTGTGGGTCCACTACCCACTTCATTAGGCTGCAGATCATCTGGTGGATATACTTCCATTGCACACTTAGGTACAAGAAATTACATCAGGAAACTCACTAGTACCTAAAATAAGAGAAAAGTAAGCATTACGTTAACCATTATTACTTATAACAGATAAACTGGGCCATGACATTTGAATATGTCTTTTTTTAAGGAATTTTTTCAAGCTTTTATTTTATTTTTAATTTAAATATATTTTTTTTTAAATCAGATTGAAAATGTTTTATTTTGAAACTTGTGAATGGCTGTGACAGTTGGAGAAAATCCCACCCAAGTTTCACCAATCTGTCTGGTAGAAAGAACTCTAAAGGAAATGGAGCCTATTTATTTAATAAGCAATCAATCAGTAATTAACCTACTTCTTTTTCGTACTTCATAAAAAGGCTTTCATCAATTTTTGCTACTTTGTTAAGCACTTTGATTTTACCATATTATGTGTCCTCACAGTTAATTTTTCCAATATATTATTGTTTTATAGGCTACATTCAGCTCATCATATCTTGTCCATTATTACATACATTTTTTTATCATAAGCCCAATAACTTTGTTGAAAATAATCCACTTTTACAGTTTGTAGAAGACAGGTCCCAAATTTTACTCATTTTAACAAAATGTGAGAAAATATACAGCAATAAAAGTTAATTTATGTCCTTGTTCATAAGACCAAAATGTGGCTTATTGGGAATCAATACAGGTTACCTCAAACAAAAACGCAAATGTTATGAATGTGTTGTTAGGTCTCATTTAGCCATAGCAGCTAAACTGTGCTACTTACCGACAGTTTTATGGTCAACAGAATAATGCAAAAGTATCCTAAACATATTGCAAATAATTTTAATTTGCTGGATACATTTACTTTAGTAAGACAATTTTCAAATGATCTCACAAAAATCTAATTTTCAGAATGTGAATTCATTTAAAAAATTCAAATTTACTTAATCCTTATGATCTAATTCATGACCTATTTTACAGATATTCAGTCTAATTATCAAGCTAACAGAGAGTCACCAAAAATACACCAAATTATTAGTATGCAAAAAAAAAAAAAAAAAAACTGAAATGCATGTTTGCAAGTTACTAAGTATACACTTCAAAAAATTAAAATACTGGAGAATAATCATCATACAAAACAGTATCCAGGAAAGCACATTATTTCCTGAAAAAATGTTTCCAGAACTAAAAAAGAAAACTAACAGCAGAGTGAAAATTTTAAGTTTCCATTGGAATTACTGAAAAAACACTAATCACACAGTGAAAATTGTAGGTTTTAACTTGAATTTCTAACAAAACTTTAACTACATCTTTAGAACAAGAGCACTGCAGGGCACGATCTCCTAATGACAACAACACTCACAGCTGACAGAACTTAACTATGCATTATTATTGCTTTCTTTCCCTTTTTTTTTTTTAACATTTCCCAGAAGTTAGCTACCATATTCCCATCCCAGCCAAACTTTTATGCAAACCAAGGTTCTTTCCAAAATTGTCAAACTGTAGACTTAGTTCAATTTTGAGAAACAGAGGTAGTGCTACTATGATGTAAGCATAAATATATAACTGATACTGTAAGGATCTTAAGTTTTACTAATGTTTATTTTATTTTAAATCTTTACTATCACTTCTTATTTTCTACTTCCAGCCAGAATTATAAGCGTTAAGGTTTTTATGCAAAGTTTGTCTGGCGAACGCCAAGTATTTAAGTTGTGGCTTTTTGCCAAGCGAGAGAGAGGAAGCAGTGAGTTCAAAGCAGGCCGCTTACCTTAGAAGTTACGCAGTTGCTTGTTGACTTCCAGGCCAGAGGTTTTAATCCTCTTGATAACTTTTAAACGTATTGTAGTGTTCTCAGTTATCTGTACTACATACGCCTTCCTGTTAATATAAGGCCAATCTTCCACATTTATTATTCTAAAGTTAAATTAGAGTTTAGTTTTATTTTTATACTTTTACGTTAGACCCCCAGTAGCGGGTCAGTGTATTCCGAAGTACGGAAGTTATTGTATATAGAGAAAAATAAAGGGTTTTGTATACCCTTCGTCTGTATCCTGTCTACTTACCACAATTAGTGAACATAGCTTTAGTAAGCTCTCTGTTCCGAGTCAGGTCCTTGTATGTTCCCGAAGAAGGTTAGAAGGAACATTGACCCTGATAATACTACCTAAACATACATGATGGAAAATTCAAATATCTATTATTTTTGTCAGTTTCTCGCATTATCCATCAGCTACTGAAACAAACCAATGGACGGACAAAATCTACTATATATATATATATATATATATATATACACAAAATATAATCAAAAAATGTTTAAAAAAATGCCCAAGCAGTAATTTAAAAGACAGCATATGGCATAATAAAATGTGATCGATACTTAGAATAAATAGTGCTATTGTACTATCCGCCCAATACTCTCATAAATTCACCAATCATGGCAAATAATTTTTCATTAATCTAACACAAAAAAAAAAAAAAAAAAAAAAAAACAGTAGACATTAAAAAAAGGGGGGCACTGAAAATTAGACAAAGCAGCAACAAACTAATGAAATTGGAAATGCAAGACATATTTATTATAAAACACTGAAGATTATATTAAAAGAGTGACAAATTAACTAAATTAAAAATGCAAAAAAATCCATAACGACACACAGAAAATTACACAAAACAGCAACAAATTAACTAAATTAAAAAAGCAACAAATATGCATGATAAAGTATTTAAATTTCTTGTTCCCCCAATTTTCTGCCAATGGGAACAGAATGCCCATTTTTTAATTTAAAAATTATTTGCGAACTGCAGAATTCTTGGAATTGCAGAACAACTTGGCACATGGACACCTTAATACCTTGTTATTAAAGAAAATTATTTTAGCATAAATTTGTACGATCAGTAATTTGGTTCCATTGCTGCGTATATGCACACATTTCAAACCGAAACATTCCACACAGATACATCGTTGATCTGACGCCAACCTGGCGAATCATTATTTATTACACTTTCCTTTCAACACCGTATGTTTATCAAAACATGATTACTTGAGTAATGTGTCTAAACAATTTTTTATATTAATAATAAAGGAGTATTAAATTTAAATTAACAAAACCTTTTATGTTGACATTATGCTTGGCAATGATTATGGATTTAAGTTAAATGTGCTAAAAAATGCTGAAGAGGGAAAGTCTTCAGCCAAACATTTCTTATCCATATGCTAAAAATAGATGTTGCTTTAATGATACTCATAGACTCAAAAGAGTTACATTTAGAGCTATTTGAATTAAGAATAACTGATTTATTACTCACATAAAACCAGAACCAGCGGCAGGGCTCGTATGGCCGCAATGCGTGGCAGAATTTAGGACTGACATCAGGCAGTAAGATATCTAGCGCCGGCCCTCAATAAGGCTTAACCCTTTGAGGAGCGGTATATAAAATAATTTAAATTGTGGTAAAATTTTGCATGAACTATAACTTATGGACCCCAAGGACACAAAATTTAGACAAAAAAAATCTGTAGAGCGAAATCCTAAATTTTGAGAGACGGTATGTTGTACACTGGTTATCATAAATTAAGGAAAAATCACGATTACTGAAAATGTTACATGCAGAATTTTATGAAACTTACACACAATATACAACACATAGTAAGGTATCAAATAACATAAAAAAAAATTACCAGACAATTATGATAGTATAGAAATTAGCACATGTATAAAATGAACAAACCAAAGGTGTCAGTTTGCTATAGGAAAAGTACCTTCAACATGGAATACATTGCCTCTAGAAGCAGTACAGCACATACAGCGACGTGTGATGCTTTCAATTATGCGGTCTATCAGTTCCATAGGAAGCGAGAGCCATTGCTCTTGCAAAGCAGTTGCAAGCGCAGCAAGGGTTTGAGGGGGCGGATTGAGAGCAGCTAGATGTCTTCCTAAAGCATCCCAAACATGCTCGATAGGATTCAAGGCCGGGGATCGAGCTGGCCACTTCATGGGCCTAATTGTTTTCTGTTGAAGATAATCATCTACGATGGGAGCCCTGTGTGATCTTACGTTGTTGTCCTGTAACAGGAAAGCATAACCTATTGCCCCGGCATATGGGCGAACATAAGCATCAAGGACGTCATCTCTATAAACTTAAGCATTCACGGTTCTCCTTGGAAAGACATGGAAGTCTGTGCGTCCGCCCGAAGAGATGCCACCCCAAACACGGACACTGCTTCTTTTGTATGCATCTCTTTCACGGACGTTTGACGGATGATAACGGATTCCATGTGTTCTCTCCATATCAAATGAACGCCTACCATCGCTTTCTAGAGTAAACCTGGACTCATTCGTAAGGAAAACAGCTCTCCATTGATCAGACGTCCACTGGACATGTTTTCGTGCCCACTGCAAACGGTCGCTCCTATGGCATGACATGAGCGACATGCAAATGGTTGGTCGCCTTGCATACAGACCACCTTCATGAAGCCTTCTACGCACAGTTGGCGTTGACACCAACCTTCTGGTGGCTACGGCAAGGGAGGATCTCAGTAGAGTCGGAGTAGCGGTTCTATTCCTGCGTGCAAATAATGTCAAATATCGGTCATAGGCGCTCATCGTAGCAGTTGGCCGTCCTTGGCTAAACCACCTACATGCCGAATCTGTGGTTTGAAATTGCCTCCAAAGTTTATGAACCACAGAAGGACTCACATTTAACCATCTGGCCACTTCTGTTTGACTTTGTCCTGCCTCTAGTCTCCCAATGGCTCTCCATTGTAGTTCTGCGGGCAAATGATGCTTGGAGGTCATTGGTACGAATTGGTTATCTCAGATTTCTGATGTCAGTGAATATAATCACAGTGAAATATGCGGGCTTGCTCTCAAACATGGACTTTTATGCTCCTCACAGTATTCCGAGTGCAGCGTTACTAATTTGCATATTGCAGTTTTACTCAGCTACTCTTACTTGGTAACATATTCAAATTTTACACAGTTTGGCTTATTTTTAAGGGGGTTATCGGTATTTTTGTGATTTTTTCTTAATTTATGATAACCAGTGTATTTTATATCGCTGCCCCTCTAAGA